TCCAAACTTGAGCTTTCTTTTTTTTTTTATTGGATATTTTATTTATGAGCCTTCCTTCTTGGTAAGCTTTCTATAGTCTGTGAATTTTATCATGGGTATTCTGAACTTTTTGGTTACTATCCACTTATCAGTGGTTACATACTATGCATGTCCTTTTGGGTCTGGCTTACCTCACTCAGAATGATATTTTCTAGTTACATCCATCTACTTACAAAATTCATGAAGTCCTCATTTTTAATATCTATGTAATATTCCATTGTGTAAACATACCATATTTTCTGTATCCATTCTTCTGTTGAGGGATGTCTGGGATGTCTGAAGATAGTGTGGCCTATGTCCTTGTGGTATGGTGGAACATCTTTTTGGAATATTATCAGAAGTAATATAGCTGGGTTCAGGTAGAACTATTTCCAATCATCTGAGGAACCACCAGATTGACTTACAGAATGTTTTTACCAGTCTGCAATCCCACCAGTAATATAGTTCTCCTCTTTCTCCACATCACAGCCCACATGTACTGTTGCTTGAATTTTTGATCTAAGCAATTCTGTAACGTGGAATTTCAGGGTAATTTTTTTGCATTTCCCACATGACTAAGGCTGTTCAATATTTCTTTAAATGCTTCTCAGTCATTTGAGATTAGTGACCAACCCAACTTGGGATCCATCCCATGTGAGCACATCCAACCCTGACACTATTACAGATGCAATATTGTGCTTACATTCAGGAACCTTTCATGGCTGTCCTCTTTAGGCTTTCCAAGCTTCTGAGATGAATGCAAATACATACAGCCAACCATTGGATTGAGGTCGGGGACTCATACTGAAGAGTTAGGGGAACGACTGAAGGAGCTGAGGGGGATTGTAAACACATAGGAAGAAAAACAGTGTCAACTAACCTGGGACCCTTCAGAGCTCCCAGAGACTGATCCAAAAACCAAGGAGCATACACAGGCACATGTGTAGCAGAGGACTGCCTTGTATGGCCTTAGTGGGAGAGGATGCCCTGTGGAAACTTGATGCTCCAGGGAAGAGGGATGCTGGCGGGGGTGAATTGGTGAGTAGGAGAGCACCCTATCAGAGGCAGAGGCTGGGGAATGGTGTGAAGAATTTGGGAGGGGGAACAGGGAAGAGGGCCTACTTTTGGAATGTAAATAAATAAAATAATTTAATAAAAATTCATTTTTAGGAAGCAGCTTAATCAAATCCACTGGCTCCACATGTCAGGATTTCGTGAGTCCATGACCACAGTCAGCACCCATGTTAGGTGTCTCACAACTGAGTGGTAGTCTAACTACAGGGATGTTAGTTGCCCCTAATCTGCACTTGCACTTGTGTACATGTATCCAACCATCCCATATACAAAATAATATTAAGTTATGTAGGTTTTATTAATGTAAATATTCTTTATTTTTATGTTTTACATCTAAAACAAGTTCATTATACTTTGTTTAATTATTTTTAGTATGCTTTATGTTGGAATGGAGGTCAAAAGACATTTTTTTATGAGTTGATTACCTGGTACTACTACATGGGTCCTGGGAATAAAATCAGGTTATCTGCCTTAGTAGAAAGTTGTTTAACTGTGGAGCAATTTCACTGGCAAGGAAAGTCTTTTAAGAAATTCAATTACATAGAAGTATAGGCAAAAATATTCTAAAACTCTCCATTAGATATTAGCATTTTTCCAATCCTAAATAAATAATCACTTGAGTAGTATGGGCTCTATATATGACAATACCATTTGAATGTTTGTGTCTAATTGCTTTCTGTATGAAATCATTAATAAATGGGTGCTATATGTAAAAATAATGAATATAAAGCTCCTCATATTTTCTAATTCATGAGTCAACACTTAACCCCCCTTCTTGGATTCAAATCACACCTGACCTTTGAAAACTGGCCTGTGGATATTATATAAAATCTTCTACCTCATAGTATTTTCTCATAAATTTATACATTTTTTGGTCCTCTATTTTAATCTTACAGAGACTGTGGATTTCATTCCCAGCAGTCACATGAAAAAGTTCAGTGGATTTGATGCTATATTCTAGTTTTCATGGGCTCTTGTACATACAGGGTATGCATAAACATATACAGTCCCTAAAATTTTAATTCTCTAAGAGGAAGCTACCAAACACAAATAAAGATAAACATGGAGACACCAAGCATAGATTTACAATTTGTGCACAGAAACATTCTCTCTCTCCCTCTCTCTCTCTCTCTCTCTCTCTCTCTCTCTCACACACACACACACACACACACACACACACACACACACACACACATGCATACAGAGACTCACATCCATGCAAAGATAAATACATAATGCTACACACTTATTTACACTATACATATATGCCCGGATACATGTACAAAAATGCAGGCCCATATTAAAGAGATGGACATATGCAACTGAAGAGAATAGAAAAACACAAAACTCGAACACTGACACACACACACATGTGCAAATAAACATATATGCAAGACACATACATACTTGCAAAATTAATGAATAAATAGTATTTTAAAAGACTTATTTGTATTTACTAACATCATTAACTAAGATCAATTTGAAAGATTTAGCACAGCAGCAAACCCGTAGTTTTCATTAGAAATTTTATTTTCAGTGCAGGGGCTGCATTCAAAACAGCAAGCTACCATTCTCTCCTGCCAGAATTTTCTGAATCCAGGACCACAATCGGCACTGCACACAGAGGCTGGCATCTGAGGAAAATTAGACACATGCAGATCAGGATTTATGCCCATTTCTTTTATAAGTATATATTCTATCAGCATGTAGAGATTTCTATAATCTTATTTTACATACACCAAATGATTGATTACATTTTACTTAGTCCATTGTGTAATGGCAAGCTATGAATATTGAAAATAAGTTGACGAATGTTGAATTGTTTCTCAATGTCTATAAATTTATGAAAAAGGGCTGATGGTATGCTGTACTGTTGAGATGCAAATAGTAAGGAGATTGCACCCTGAGTTTTAAAGTCAATTATTGTCAATTTGACAAAAAGTACAGAAACAGACAAAGGAAACTTTAATTGAGGAATTCTCTCAATGAGATGAGCCTGTTCTCATCCTTGTGATGCATTTTATTTAATTGGTGGTGGATGTAGGAGTTCCCACCTTACTGTGGTCAATACCGTACTTGGTCAGGGCTCTATGAAATATCAAGCAGAGCAGGCTAATAAGTAGTGTTCTTTCATGGTCGGTGATTTTGTCCCAGTCTCCAGACACCTGTGCTTGTCTTTCCATGATTCTAACCTATGAGCCAACACCCCTTCCTCCTCACTTTGTTTATATCAGAGTTTAATTACAGTAACAGAATAGCAAGCTAGGATTTAAAGACATCTAAAACAGAAAGGATATGTTCTCAAATCTGAGATTCCAGATGCAACCTCCAATAAATTAGAATTGCAAAACATGCAAGTTGTATGTAAAAAGAAAAGCAACTGAATGTGCACAGCCTCATTTATTTGTTGGAGAGGACATGTTAGATTGATGAGTAGTGAGCTGAATATTGAGTGTTTCATGAGGTCAAAATGTGTTACAAAGGCTGCAAATACTGGGGAAACCTGGATAAAAGTTAGATTGCCTAAAGTCAATTGAAGAACTTCTTGAGTTAAAATGAAATATTTTTGTATGACAATTACCCCTGAAATGGAGCCCTATTTTTTTTAAAACCAGAAATGTCACTATGGTGGTGTACAAAAGCAAGAGTTCCATGGAACAAGTCATGAGTTATGCCTCTCTTACTGGTTGTGGTAACCCATATTCTCTGTATACCTAGAGAGTCTCTCATTCTAGTGCTGAAATATGTAATGCTGTCTGTGTCACCATAAATTATGACAACATTTGTGGATGAATCCATGATTTGATTGTAACACAATTCAGTTCCTGGTTTGTATAAATGCTCACAGCCTGAGAAGATGATCACAAAGTCAAAGCAGACTTTATATTTTCCATCTCTCTTCTCAGATATGACTGAAAAAACTCTATCCTTTTCATCATCTAAGATGACCAGCCAAACCCAGTTCCAGCTGAAGTGAAGTATGAAGGAGACCAATGCTAGTGCCAGAGAATTGTCCTTGGGGGACATCTGATATAGATAGGGAAATTGTTCATGACCACTCAGGATAGGATCGAAAGTTTCATATGCAATCTGAAGGACATAAGACACAGAGAGCAACATGAAGTAGAATGTACTGAAAAGCTTTATGAACATAAAGAGTTCATTACCTTCTACTTTTTACCTTATCCCTGTTAGAAACAAGGAAATGTAGAAGCCTAGCACATCCATATCTAATGGGAACAATGAAAATCGTAAAGCCCATGCAACTCTTTCACAAAGATCTAACAAAGCTGAGTCACATATTATGGTCTCTATCATTCTTTCTTTCAGTTTATGTCTAGATATCTGTATTTTTAAGAAGTGAAAAAAAAGAAGTGGAAGGATTTTAATATATTTATAATTTAGGGATATTGGAATGATCAGAAATTTTTATGACTCATTTATGCCTTCCCCCAGGAGAAGCTTCTAAGCTTCCTGAGGAAAGTCTTGAGCACGCTATTCCTCCAGTTTTTTAGGGACAATAATCTTATATGGCTCTTCTTGAAGTTTTTCCTTGTGCTCTGTTGGTTGTGACTCACATAAAGTTGCCTGAGTTCTCCTTGTAGGGTCAGGTTACAAGATACTCTTGGACCATTGCCCCTGTATTTAACCAGCGACATGATAATCAGAACAAATTAAACTTAAAGAAGTAAACAGGATTTAGCAACCTAAAAGTGTTGGCAGCAGATCAGATTAGCATATAAGATACAGGCCACATAATTTATGCCCTTCAAGGAAAATATACAGCAACAAAGTTAGATTGGCTGGAATTATCTCTTCTCTACACAGGGGCTTATAATGAGGAACAAAGGATTGTGTGGAAAAAGTATAAAAGAATGAGGTATCAGGACACCCCTTTCTTTCAAAAGTTAGCTTGGGCAGGGCCACTGTTGGATATTATGACAAAGAAAGAAAAGACTACCAAGATTAGACACCAGTGCTTCCAAGTATCCCAGGATGCAATGGAAAGCAATAGCTGAGCCTTTGTTGCAAATGATGATGGTGTGTCCATTTTCTGAGTGACCATCTTTATCAATAAATTGAGGAGAAACTCCTAGCCAGATTGCACACACAATACATTGGAATAGGGAACATTTAGGAATTAGGTAGTTGGGTGCCCCGGATACCAGGAAGTACCTTATCTGTTTTCCAGGGGCTGTGACTTTGAAAGCAAGTACTGCAGTGATTGCTTTGGCTAGAACTGTGGAAACAGCCACAGTGAATACATTTCCAAATGTAATTTGGTGAAGGTTGCAGGTGACTCTGTTTGGATGGCCAATGAAGAGCACAGAGCACAGAAAACAGAACAAGAGTGAGATGAGTAATAGGTAGGTTAATACTCTGTTACTGGCTTTCACAATAGGGGTGTCATGGTGCTTTACAAAGACCCAAAGAACCACTGCTGTGAATGAGGAGAAACAGAAGGCTGTTAAGGCAAGAGCCATCCCCAAAGGATCTTCGTAGGTCAGAATTATCACAGATTTTTGAATGCATTTGCTCTGCTCTGTGTTGGTATACTGGTCCTCTGGACACATCACACATTGCTCCACACCTGATATCAAAAGGAAAGCTTTGTTACTGTGGCTTTAGCATTTGTATTGACAGGGTATTTCAAGTAAGTATGTTGGAGAGGCCTTGAACAGCTGCATTTTGATTATGATAATGTAATTGAAGGGCATTGCTGCACAGCAATCATTACATTTCATAATGATCACCATATTTAAGGAAAACAAAACCAAGAAACCATTTCTTTGTCTATTTAAGTGGATTGATGATTTATTTACAATATTTTCAGAAAGTACAGATTTCAGATTTCTTACATCATTTTGAGTGCTGCGGTGATATGACTTGGATTGTTGAATTCAGAAAAGGTACATTTGTTAATTGCAGTCATTAACTGTGTGGCTGATTGTATTTTCTAATCACCAAACCCTAGATTCAGTGTCCCCTGAGATCACTGACTGTTTTATAAATTCTTTCTCTATGACAAATGAAAAGTTTCCCTTCTAAGGACAAGATGTGCAATAGTTAGAATTTGCCAGCCAAAATACAATGACATAGAAGCAGTGATCTATAATGTGTATACCCTTCCTTGGAGTCATAAAACATATTTTGATTTGATAGTAAGAGTAAACTTATTGAGGAATGAAGGTAAGAAATCACAATGAAAACACTGTAGAAATAAAATTATCATGTTTCTAGAATTTTACTTCTTTCATAGGAGACTCCCAAACACATACATATGTGCAGAATCAAATACAATATCCAAACTCTCTCTCACACACACACACACACGCACACACACACACACACACACACCTACACAGAGACAACCTCACATCTATACAGAGATACACAAATAAATACAGCCATTCATTTATTTACACATAAATATACATACATGCCCACATACACATATAGCCACACAAGTATAAGAAAAGGAAACACATGTACACCCAAATAGACACACAGACATAATCACATAAAATACATACATAGACACACATGCACTGACAAGAACACACAAAGAATTGTACACAGATACAAAAACCCACACCAAGAGGTTTTGACATATAGGCAAATTTATGCTGACATTCAAAGATAGGCAGGCAAATGGAAACACATATATAAAATGTTACATACATACACACACAAACACAGAAACATATACATGCAAAGATATCCACAAAACACACAAAACACATGCACAGTCACATACAGACACATACTCTGACAAATACATACAGAAATGTACACACAGTTAGAAACACCTGTACAGAAAAGAACTTGATACACATGAAAAATTTGTTCATTTCCACAGATGGAAAGACAGACAGATGAACAGGAAAACATATATACAAAGCAATGCAAATATAAACACAGATTTACAGAAATACAAAATCATACACATATACACAGTAAGAAAGAAACATTCACACATATGAATACACTTAGATTAATATCAGCACTATTTTTTGTTTAGTTACCCTCAGAGACCCAAGTACATTCCCCAGAGCCTACAGTGGGGGCAGAATCTGTTGAGGAAACTTATGAAAAACATTCCCTACAATCATTTCCATGTAAATGATAATTAATAAGCAAATGCTCAACTTCATGGATAAAATTCATGAGTAAGAACTGTTGATGTTTCCAGTATTAGAAGAGGTGTGATGATGTTCAAGTGCTTTGTATCAAAATCTCAATTTTCTCTGATAAAATGTGTCTTGCACTTGACTGCCTTTCTGATTGCATTTATACCAATCTGTAGATTTCCTTTCTCACCAGAAAAATGTTCAGAAACCTATATCTTTGGGGAAATACTTCCTAGTTGATTAAATTTGGGCATCTGAGAGAGTCTAAATGGTATGGATCAGATCAAATATCATTCAGTAGAAGAAACTCTACCTTAAAGCAGTCAAATTTGTGTCCTGGCCTGATTATCTACTTGTTGAAGAATCATCTCATGAAGTGAATGGACCATAGCATATATAGCATTATATGTATCATAGCTACCATCACTACAGGCCATCCTAAAGTCTGTTTTATTAGCCACTCCAATGAGGCATTGGATGAGTAGTTCTTCAGTGTCTTGCAGTTAGATGCTGAGGCTTCACAGTTAAAGGATATCCACCCAAGTCTTAGCAGATATTCATCTGAGATTTTGATAGGATTCAGTGTCTGGACAAAATTTTTGAAACCAGAAATGTCACCATGGTGGTGTACAAATGCAAAAGTCCCATGCAATGAGTCATGAGTTAAGTCAGTCTTACTGGTAATGACTTCACACTCTGATGTGATGATTCATAGTTTCTATAGACGTAGAGATTCCCAAATTCTAAACAAATTCTAAACATAAATTGATAGATTTCCAAAAGCAAGTTATGATACATCATTGGGTAGATATGTGGCCAAAAATGAGATTGAAACAGTCATAAAGTATTTCAACTACTAGGGAGATGGATCAACAGTTAAGAGCACTAGGTGATCTTCTAAAGGAACTGGATTTTGTTCCCAGTGCTCACATGGAAGCTGGCAATCTCTATAACTCCAGTTCCAAATGAATCTGAAACAATCTTTTGATGCACATGCTTGGAATACACAGACATGCACTCAGGAAAACTCCAGTATGCATAAAACAAACAAACAAAAACCTGTAATAAACTAACGAGAAAACAGACAACAAAATACAATCTAATAAATTCATCAGAGAACTTTTCTACATCTTAATTTTATATTTAAAATTTTGTTTTAGCCTGGTGTGGTAACATATGCCTTTAGTCCCAGCTACTGGAAAGTAGAGGAACAGGAATCTATGTGAGTTCAAGGTTGGGCTGGTGTATAGAATGAATTCTAGGACAGCCAGACATACACAGAGAAACCCTGCCTTGAAAACTGCCCCGAAATTGTTTTACTGCATTCATACATGTGCTTGGCTTATGTTTATGTCTTGCAATATGTTCATGTCTGGTGCTTGTAGATATCAGAAGAGGGTCTTTTGTGTTTTTTTGAAATGGGGTTTCAGACAGCTTTAAGTCATCATGTGTATGTTGGGAATCAAAAACTACTACCTTTAATGATTAACCAGTGCTCTTAACTACTAAGCCATCTCATTAAATCTTGTAGAAGATCTCAGTTATTCTCAAATAATTCTATAAATTAGAAAACATTTCTGCAGAGCTAGTATCACACTGATAGCAAAGCCAGAAAGATACACATAAAGAAGAAAATTATAGGCTGGGAGTAGTGGTATATGCTTTTAATTATGCCAGAACTTGAGAGGTAGAAGAAGGTGGACTCTGTGAGCTTGAAACTTGGCTCTTTTAAATGGAGAAACTCTGTCTTGAAAAGCCACACACACACACACACACACACACACACACAAATGCACACACACACACACACACGCGCGCGTGCACACACACAGTATACATATTTGGTTTTCTGATGAACATAGGCAAATAATTACAATAAAACATTTTTTAAAAACATATTTTAATAACATCAATTTTTACCTATTTAACAAAGGTGATGAACTTTGAAGAAATAAAAGGATAAAGGCTGCTTAGGTGTTTAGACTAAAACAGAAAAGTGAATACAGAGTCAGAGGGAGTAGTTACATCTGCACTAGTGATATCACCTTAGTTCACAGAGTGGTTTCACAAACTGACTCCAATTTTGTTTTTCAGGTTGACATTTGTCATTGTGTAATAAAATGAGGTCCTAAGTTTGCAATACTTTACTATGGAGCTTATTACACAGTGACCTGAAATAGAATAATCTTCATGAAAACTTCCATCCATGACAAAGAAAGTAGATTTCTTCAGAATAAAATATATGAAAAGAAAACATGACAAATTCGTGGAATGTCATGACTTTAGAAACAAAGTGATATATTGACACAAATTTGCTGTATTGAATGTCAAATTTACAAATTATTTCAAAAAGGCCAAGTTGATGTATATGACTTGAGTCTGTTCATCAGCACATGTAACTGATAGAGGAAGTAAATCTTTGTGAAACACAGTTGTCAAATTAATAAAATATGTGAATGATGCAAGGGGATGAACTTACAAGTAAGGATTTCAAAAGCAAACTAAATAAAGAAAAATAATAGTGAATACAGGAGTTAGACTGTAGACATGGCATATATTTCAAAATGAAAAAGGGATTAGCCTAATATGACTAAAGAAATAATAGCTTGTGGCATCAACTACCACATTATAACTTTATATGTAAGTTTTCAGATGCTGAAGAATAATAAGTCTTTAAATATATCATTTAATTTAAGAAACACAGAAGCTAGACTTTAAGAAGGCTTTTTTCTCTTAGCATATGTATTGTCCCTGATATAATGAAGTGAGTTCCTTTCTGGTCTTAATAATATGATGTAGCACTTGGGGATAAAGATGATGCCTAAGAGTGATGCACTGGAAGCCAAGATAGAGAAGACTTCCATAGCCACCATGATCTTCCCCTTTGTGCTGTGGTAGACAGGGAGGAAGGTGATCCAGACACTGCAGAAGACCATCATGCTGAAAGCCAGGAACTTGGCTTCATTGAATGTATCAGGTAGATTTCTGGACAAGAAAGCCATAAGGTAGCTCCCTAGGGCCAGTGCTCCCAAGTATCCCAGGATGCAATGGAAAGCAATAGCTGAGCCTTTGTTGCAAATGATGATGATGTGTCCATGTTCTGAGTGAGCATCTTCATCAATAAATGGTGGAGATGTTGTCAGCCAAATTCCAGAAAGAACAACTTCGATCAGGGTACAGATGGGAATAATGTAATTAGGGGCTCTTGATATCAATAGCCATCTCATCCTTCTTCCTGGAGAAGTGAGCTTGAAGGCTATAACTACAGTGATAGTTTTGGCCAACACAGTGGAAAGAGCCACAGTAAAGAGAAGTCCAAAAATGTTTTGCTGCAGGACACAGGTGGTTGTGCTAGGATGGCCAATGAAGAGTAAGGGACAGAGGAAACAGAGGGTCAGAGTGATGAGAAGGGTGTAACTGAGAGCCAGGTTATTGGCCTTGACAATGGGGGTGTCTCTGTTCTTCAGAAACACCACAAGAACAACAGCTGTGAGTGAAGAAAAGCCCAGGGACATGAAGCTAAGTGTCTTCCCCAAGGGATCATCATAGGCCAGAAATGTCACAGTTTTCAGTAGGCAGTGGATCTTTTCTGAGTTTGCATAGTGAGTTTCTGGACACTCCATACACTGATCCATATCTGCCAAATATTCAGTTTATTATGAGTACATACTCTGTTTTCACCCTTCATCTGAAGGCATTTCCCAGCTCCAGCACAAAGCCATGTGCTGGACCATCTTGCTTTGTTTATGATGCAAATATAAAAACACTTTCCAGATAATATTTCTAAACTCAATTTTCTTTTACTTCATGCTGATACAAATTAAACAGCCCCAATGTTTTTCCCTCTGTTCTCATACACATGGTACTCTTACATTTAGTGACACAGTTGTATCTGTTTTAGAAGACATCAAAACACTGAAATACGTTTTGTGATCATGATTTGGCTCAAACCAAGCAAGTGAGTCTAACCTATCAAATAAAAGATCTGTGTGACAGGAACTTAAAGAATCTCTGGAAAGAAATCTAAGAAGACCTCAGAAGATTGAAAGATCTCCTATGCTCATGGATAGGCTGTATTTGCATAGTACAAATGGGCATCTTACCAAAAGCAATCTACACATTCAGTGGAATCCCCATAAAAATTCAAAATTAATTCTCCACAGTGATGGAAACAGACAGGACAGCAAAAATTATTCTTGACAATAATTGAACTTCTGTGGGAATCACTATCCCTGACCTCAAGTGATACTACAGAGCAATAGTGACAAAAACAGCATGGTTTTGGTACAGAGACAGACAGGTAGATCAATGAAATAGAATTGAAGAATAAAATAAGAAATAAATGCACGTGCTTATGATCACCTGATCTTGGTTAAAGAAGTCAAAATCATCTAGTGGAAAAAAGACAGCATTTTCAACAAGTGGTGCTGGTTCATGTGGCCTTTCAGAATGTAGAAGAATGCGAAGTGATCCGTTCCTATCTCCTTGTATAAAGTTCAAGCCTAAGTGTATCAAGGACATCCACATAAAACCTGATACACTGAGTCAAATAGAAGAGAAAGTTGAGAGGAACCTCAAACACATGTGGGCAGGGGAAAATTTCCCAAAAAGAACACCAATTTAATTTTCATAAAATTGAAAATTTTCTGTAAGGCAAAGGAAACTGTCATCAGGACAAAATGGCAACCTACAAATTGGGAAAATATCTTTTCCAACCCTAGATTCCATAGAGGGCTATTATCCAATAAATACAAAGAATTGGAGAAGTTCAATACCAGAGAACCAAATAACTCTATTAAAAATGGGTTACAGAACTAAATAAAGAATTCACAACTGAATAATCTTGAATGGCTTAAAGCACCTAAAGAAATGTCCAACGTCATTAGTAATCAGAGAAATGCATATCAAAATGCCCCATTCAGAATGGCTAAGATCAAAAACTCAGGTGATAGCAGATGCTGGCATGGATGTGGGGAAAGAGGAATACTCCTCTATTGCTGGTGGGATTACAAGCTTGTACAACCACTCGGGAAATCAGTCTGGCATTTTGTCAGAAAATGAAAATAGTTCTACCTGAGGACTGAGCTATACTACTCCTTGGTATATAGCCAAAAGGTGCTCCAATATGTCACAAGGACACATACTCCACTATGTTCATAGCAGCTTCATTTATAATATCCAGAAGCTGGAAACAATCTAGATCTCCCTCAACCAAAAATGGATATAGAAAATGTGGTTTATTTACACAATGGAGTACTACTCCACTATTAAAAACAATGACTTCATGAAATTCATTCACAGACAAATAGATGGATCTAGAAAATATCATCCTTAGTGACGTAACCCAGTCACAGAAGCACACATATGTCATGTACTCACTGATAAATGGTGTTTACTCAGTGATAACTGGATATTAGCCCAAAGGCTCAGAATACCCACAATACAATTCACAGACCATATGAAGCTCAAGAAGAAGGAAGAACAAAGTGTGGATGCTTCAGTTCTACTTAGAAAGGGGAAGAAAACAATCACAGGAGGTAGAAGACTGGAGAGAAATTGGCAGAGTGAGGAGGGACAGGGAAAATGGGGGCCAAGATCAGGCATATGAGGAGACAGGGGAGAAGTATAGATGGTCAGGAAATTGAAAGGAGGTGTGTAATAGTGGGGAATGGAGAACTCGGGATAGCCAGTAGTAAGCCCCATATGCCACAGAAGAAAGAAGCTCCCACGTTTCAGTGGGGATGATATTAGTTGAAATACCCAACAAAGGGGAGATAGAACCTATAGAGACCATATCCAGTGGATAAGCATGGACCTTGGTTGAGGGATGGGGCCACTCACCCAACTCAAAAATTTTAACACAGAAATCTTCCTGTCTAATGGAAATGCAGGGACAAATGGTGGAGAAGAGATGGAAGGAAAGGCCATCTAGAGACCACTCCACTTAGGAATCCATCCCATCTCCAGACATCAAACCTAGACACTATTGCTGATACCAGGAAAAGATTGCCGACAGGAACTTCATATGGCAGTCCCCTGAGAGTCTCTGCCAGAACCTGAACAATACAGTTGTGAATGCTTGTAACCAATCATCAGACTAAGCATGAGGACCCCAATGGAGGACTTAGAGGAAGGACTGAAGGAGCTGAAAGGATTTGCAACCCCATAGAAAGAACAATACAAACTAATTGAAACCTCCAGTGTTCTCAGGAACTAAACTACTAACAAAAGAATACATATGGAGGGACTGATCCACGGATCCAGCTGCATATGTAGCAGAGAATTTATTTATCTAACATAAGTGGGAGGGGAAGCCCTTGGTCCTGTGGATGCTTGATGCCCCAGCATATGGAGATGCTGGGGGAGAGAAGGCAGATGTGAGTGGGTAGGTTTGGGAACACTCTCATAGAGGCAAGTGTAGGGGGGATGGGATGGGGGTTTGCTGAGGTCAAATAGGGAAGGGGGGACATTTGAAATGTAAATAAATTAATTAATCTATAAAAACCAACCAACCAAACAAACAAAAAACACAAATGATCATTCACCTTGATCAAGTAGGCTTCATCCCAGGGATGCAAAGTTGGTTCAATATATTAAATTCATTAATGTAATTCAGTATAAAAACAAACTCAAGGGAAAAATATCACATAATCATCTTATTAGATGCTGAAAAAACATTTGACAAAACACAGCACTCTTCTTGTTAAAAGTATTGGAGAGATCATGAATTCAAGGCCCAAACCTAAGCATAATAAAAGCAATATGCATCAAGCCAACAGCCAATATCAAATTAAATGTCAAGATACTTGAAGCAATCCACTAAAATCAGGAACAAGACAAGGATGCCCACTCTTCCTTATCTAGTCAATATAATACTAGAAGTTCTAGCAAGAGCAGTAAGACAACAAAAGGAATTCAAGGGGATACAAATTGGCAAAGAAGAAATCAAGGTATCACTATTTGCAGATGATATGATAGTATAAATAGGCAATCATAAATTTTTTTCCAGAGATCTACAGCTGATAAACAACTTCAGCAAAGTGGCTGGATATAAAATTAACTCAAATAAATCAGTAGCTTTCCTTTATACAAATGATAATTGGGCTGACAAAAAAATAGCAAAACAAAATCCTTCAGAATAGTCACAAATAATGTAAAATATCTTGGGGTAACTCTAACCAAACATGTGAAAGATCTACATGACAAGAACTTCAACTCTCTCAAGAAAGGAATTTAAGAAGGTCTCAGAAAATGGAGAGACCTCCCATGCTCATGGATTAGTAGGATTAATGTAGTAAAAAGAACCATCCTACCAAAAGCAACCTATAGAGTCAATGCAATCACCATCAAAATCCCAATACAATTCTTTACAGACATGGAAAGAGCATTTCTCAATTTCATATGGAAAGCCAAAAACCCAGGATAGCAAAAACAATTCTAAACAAAAAGGAACTTCTATAGGAGTTACCATCCCTGAGCACAAGCTATACTACAAAGCAACAGTCACAAAAAAACTGCATGGAATTGGTACAGATACAGACAGGTTGATCAATGGAATAGAATTGAAGATCCAGAAATAAAATTCCACACATAAGGACACTTGATCCTTGAAAAGGAAGCCAAAAATATACAATGAAAAAAAGAAAGCATCTTCAGTAAATGATGCTTGTCTAACTGGCAGTATGTGTGTAGAGAAGTGAAAATAGATCTATATTTGTCACCTTGCACAAAGCTCAAGACCAAGTAGATCAAAGGACCTCAATATAAAACCAGATGCACTGAATCTAATAGAAGAGAAAGTGGGGAAAATTCTTGAACTCATGTGCAGAGAGGGGTAATTCTATATTCTGTAAGGAAATAGAAGCAAGCCATTAAATGTCTCCCAAGCAAAAAAGATATGGGCCAGATGGCTTTAGTATGTACTTCTCCAAGATTTTCAAAGAACAGCATGTGCAAATACTCCTCAAAGTATTCCACAAAATGGAAACATAAGGAACACTGCTGAACTCATTCTATGAAGCCACAGTAAGGCTGATATCTAAACCACACAAAGATTCAACAAAGAAAGAGAATTTCAGACCAATTTCTCTTATAAAATTCAAAGCAAAAAATATTTAATAAAATACAGGCATGCCGAATCCAAGAACACATAAATACATTGTCCACCCTGATTAAGTAGGCTTCATTCCAATGGAGATGGTGTGGATCAATATATAAAAATCCATCACCATAATCCACCTAGTAAACAACATGAAAGAGAAAAAAACCTACATGATCATCTTGCTACAGACCAAAAAGCATTTGATAAAATTCAACATTCCTTAATAATAAACATCTCAGAGAGATCAAGGATAGAGAGGACATAGCTAACACAATATACAGCAAGACAATAGCCAGTGTCAAATGAACTGGAGAGAAACTTAAAATATTTCCATTAAAATTGGGAGCAAGAAAAGGCTGTCCACTCTCTCCCATCTCTTCAATATAGTACTTGAAATTATGGTTAGAGCAATCAGACAACTAAGGGAGATCAAGTGGATACATATTACAAAAAAGAATTCAAATTATAGCTATTAGCAGATGATATGACAGCATTCATAATGAACCCATAAATACTACCAGAGAATTTTTACAGC